AAACGTCGAAAAATGCAAGAAAGCAACTCGAAACTATTTTGCCAATGGCGGGCCGAAGCCATTTCGCATTTTCTTGTAACTCAAACTGAAAAAATTCTAAAAAACCCGCGGGATTCCGAACCGCATGTTGAATAGAGTGTTTCATTGTGCACACTCCTAACGCTGAAAAAAAAATTTATTTCGGAACCGTTTCCTGGAACAGAAATATGAAAGAATGAAAAATATCGCAAGAACTTTCGGTCCAACCTGATACCTTGACACTTTAGAGCTACGAAAGCGACATGACCGAGGATAATTTCACGATCTTGGCTGCATGCCTCCTTGGAATGCTGCAATTCGCGATATTCTTTGGATTCGATCTGCTGGCCTATGTATCCGAGCCGATCACGCACTCCATCCATGTCCGATGCCCGGGCTGTATTGTCGATTTTGCAGGGTATTACGGGTAAGGCAAGTTCAGGCAGCCAATCAGTACCCATGATCTTACAGCCAAGGTGTCATCTACTTCGTCTATGCTCTCGCAAACCTAATCGTCCCCTGTTTTCTGCACAAGCTCGGATTTCGCGGAAATCTGGTGATCGGAGCGACATGTTTCATGCTCTTCTGCATGTCTTTCTTCCATCTCCGAAACTACACCTATTTCCCGACGTGTGTATTTGCTGGCTTTGCGTTTGCTTGTCAGTTTTCGTGTCGTTTTTGAGGAACTTTATTTTTTAGTCTATTACTGCGGAGCCGGAGCTTACGCGGCCAAGATTTCGTCAGCGACTACGATCTCCAGGAACCAAGCCTTGACCTGCACATTTTCAGCGATCGGGTATTCCAAAGATTAAATGACAATTAAGCTTTTAGCCTTGGATTTTGCGGCGTTTTCATCCTAATCTCCTCCGAGTTTACGGTTATGCAAAACACGGGAGTTCACGCCGCGAACCTCAGTATTATTGTAAGACAGCAAGAACAAGAACTTTAGCAAACTTTCAGAAAGATTCCTATCGTGACTATTCCGACTACGAGATTCGGATTCTGGCTATTGGCACCGTCGCGGTTTCATGCGTCGCTATAGCCCTGGCGTTTTTTATTCCCATTCGGCCGATCAAAGATTCTCTTTATGAGAAGACCGAACATGTCGATACGGTCGGGGATCAGCTGAGTACGTCCAAATAGGTTATTTACGAAAAAATTTGCGTCGTCAGGGATGGTACTGTGGGCAATTCGGCAAAAGGGCCTGTTGAAAATCGCACCATTTTGCATCTTCACCGGCTTCTTCACAATCTTCTGGCTGTCGATCTACACGACAACCCTGTCTTTCACGGCCTCTTTGGCCGTCTACAATAGTTTGGTCGCATATTATTGTATTGCGATCACGATCGGCGAGGTAATTGGTAAGCACTCTAGTAACGTGAACCCGTTTTCAAAACACGCCCATTATCTATCTCTTCTAGTGGGCTCCTTCATGAGCTTCATGAACAAGCGGATAAATGACTTTGGATTGGTACCAGCCATGAGCATGGTGATCTCGATGTACGCGCTGACGTCGATCCTAATCGTGCTCTACACTCCGGCCGAATCGAGCATGAGGCCGACGAAACAATTGCCATTTGTTGAGCCGAGGTATGTTAAAAGATCTTACACACACACTAGTGCAACTCTTAGCTTCTGGACGGCGCTTCTGATCGGTACTATCAACGGTATGGTTGATGGAGCAATGAATAATGTACGAGTCACGACAGCGGCTCGGGCTGCACCTTCACAACCAGCCATAGCGTTTTGTATCACAAAGTTTTACCAGGTAATTCCGATAGTTGCAATCCTACTATATATAAAAAAAATAGTGTCTGTGTGTGTGCATTTGCATGCAACTTCCGTGAGGTTGTCTCTCACTTACAGCCTCAGGGGAAGGTTTTTAGGGTACGTATGATACGTCATTAGGTGCGTAATGGTGCCGAGATGAGTGCACACATATCAAAGTTTTGAAAATTACTGTTTTCGCAATTAAAATTGGGTTTTTGTAAAGATATCGCAAATCTCTTTGTTAGGAGCCAATTTGCATGCACCGGAAGTGGGGAAAGCTTATATAAGGGGGGTAGAGGGGTCCTTTTCATTTTTTTGCAATGAAGGTTCGGGAAGAAATATGTGTGCGTTAGCCGGGGCCAGGGTTGAAAAGCCGCGGAGCGGTTTTTCAACCCTGGTTAGATTGTATTTATTGCTCTAGGCGCTCGCATCAATGATTTTCTTCTTCCTCTGCTCAAAACTTGATGCGCACAAAATTATCGCGCTTATGAGCTGCACCTTGTTGGCGGGTTGGTGATGTCAATTTCCGTAAAAATATACTAACTTTGCTGCTTTAGGCCTCATCGGCTTCATCTCCTTCCTCAAAGATCTGCGACGAGTGCGAGATGCCCAGATTTCACCATTGAAGAAGTTGAGAATCAGCTTAAAAGAATAAATCGTCATTTTCCCTTGACTTTCAAACTGCTCACGGAATGGGGACACAACTTTGCAGAATTTTTTCCGGGCATTTACCGGTTGTTACCAGTACAGGCTTATGCAGATTTTTTACCGGGCATTGACCCATGGCACAACGACAAAAAGTGGTTAAGCAAGGTCGATGTTCGTCCTAGCCGGGTGATTGCCTGAATTTCACGTGGACAGATCGAAAGTTTACTTTTTTAACTCTTAACTTTTTCTATTGATTACCAGGGTTGAAAAGTCGCGACGCGACTTTTCAACCCTGGTCCCCGTCTAATCCGTCTTTATATAGGCTACTGCAACTTCCGGCGTATGCTAATTTTCTCATAACAAAGTGGGCGGCCGAATTTATACGAAAAACTTAATTTTAATGTCGAAAACAACATATTTTACAAAATCTGATGTGTGTGCAGCCATCTACAGCCCATTACGCATCTAATGACGTATCAAACACCTCCTTAAGCCCCTTCCCCTCTTGAGATATCCTCCGGACACGCTGAAGGAAGTTGCATGCAAAGTGTCATACACACACACAGACACTATTTTTTTTATATATAGTAGGATTGCTTGGCCTTCGAGGAAGTACAGTTTATTCCCTGCCTGTTTTTCACACGCACATTCATTAACTTCAATGTTAAGGCCGTTCCGACAACGATTTTAGGCTTTAGACAATAAGTTTTAGGCATGAAAGAAGACAAGTTCCAAATCTTGGCCGCCAGCCTCCTTGGGCCTTTGCAGTGCACCTCATTTTTTGGCTTCGACATGCTCACCTTCGTCTCGGAGTCAATTGCGCACTCCGTGCATGAGCGCTGCCCGGATTGTATTGTGGAGTTTGCCGGATACTACGGGTATTTAACGTTAACAGGGATGCAAGAGCAAGCACGATTAATTATCGCTTTTAAAGCCAAGATCTAAAATCATGTAAACACACCCTTTCAGGCAGAGCGTCATCTACTTCGTGTACACCTTCGCCAACCTGGTCGTCCCCTGCTTTCTCAACCAGCTCGGGATTCGCGGAAACTTCTTGGCCGGTGCGCTGTGCTTCCTCGCATATTGCCTGACGTTTTTCCACCTCCGGAATTGCCTCTACTTCCCGGGCTGCCTATTCGCCGGGCTTGCGTTTGCTTGTAGGCTCAATTTCTTTTCAACAACTCAATATTTCAAGTCTTTTACTGCGGGTCGGGGGCTTATTCTGGGAAGCACTCTACTGACACAACAGTTTCGAGGAATCAGTCTGTTACATGGATGTTTGCAGCGACCGGGTCTGATCCACAATCTCGTATCGTGACTAGAGAGATTTTTAGCATTTTCGCCATCGGTTTCTATGCAATGTTCTCAGCCGAACTCTCTGTCGTCGAACCAAATGAATCACAAATTGTCGGACACAACCAAACGGTCTGGTTTTCGAGTGACCAAAACCTAAATTTCAGGTCACCTCAAGCTACCGCATCTATTCCGAATTTGAGGTCCATGTCCTAACGATCGGTTCTTGCGTCATCTCTGCAATTGCCCTCGTTCTCGCCTATTTCATGCCAATCCATGAAATCAGAGATTCTCTGTTTGAGAAGACGAACCATGTCAAAACCGTCCGGGAGCAACTGGGTAATAGGAAATGCTACCTAAAACGCTCATAAAATTTAGGCCAGGTTACCTGGGCCTTAAAAGAGCCTGGCCTGCTGAAGATGTGTCCGTTTTTCCTGTTTACGGGCTTTTTCACGACGTTCTGGCTGTCGGTCTATCCAACGACATTGGCATTTACCGAGGAGTTTGTCGAGCACAAGAATATGGTCGCCTATTTTTGCTTCTCCCTGGCTATCGGGGAGATTTTCAGTAAGTAAAAAGAACCAAAACTATTATAAAAGACGACAGAAATTTATTAAGGGTCTAATGTTAAAAAATTAAGAATATCGTTTTTTTTTCAAGTCGGTGCCCTGATGAGCTGCCTCAACAAACGCTGGAAGGACTTTGGGCTTGTACCCGCAATGTTTTTGACCCTGGTGACATATTTGGGAGTTTTGGCACTCGTGCTTTTGTATGTCCCGCCGGAAGCAAATATTCGGCCCGGCAGCGAACATACTGTCTTCAAGCCCAAGTAAGACGGGCCGGGATCCGCACAGACGGGCTAGTCCCGGCGTGCTATTGCGCGCCCCACTGACCGTATCCCGCCGGGGCCCCTCCCCGGCGCTTTCCCACTTTTCCAGCCAACTTTTTATGGCGTAATCGCCGGAAAGAAGTAAAGAATAGTAAAATAAAAATAATAAAATAAAATTTTATGCTTATCTGCTCTTGGTTCTACACATAATATATTACCTACAGCCTAATACAAGCTTATGAAGCGTACTGACGGTGGTTCAGGTGACAAAACATACATTCGTGCCATTTTTTGAGGTCGGGATGTTTTTCTTTCGTAAATGCAGCGCTTAGCAACAACAAAATTTATCAAAAACAACTTTAACAATCTTTCTCATTTTCATTCTGGTCAATTTTCTCCGTAGCTTCTTTTCTCGGAAATTTTTCAGCCACTTCACGTCGAGATGGAAGGAGTGGTGTCATCTCACCGATGTGATAAATGTGGCTATGAAACGACCTTCCTGGGCAATATGCGCCGCCATTGCCGACGAGTACACGGAGGGATAATGCTGACAACTCCTTGCCGGAAACGTGTTGTTGAGAAGCTCCTGAATGCGCCGACGCCGGATGCTAATGGCGAAAGCAGTAATGGTGGATTCTACTGTGTCGGGTGCAAGTACCGTTGTTCGACCCAGGAAAAGCTAGCTGCTCATTTTTCCAGTGCGCATAATGATGACGAGAAAAGGTGAACTGATTGTTCCTGAAAAACGGATTTAGTTTTGAATTACAAGAGATTACAATGGCAGCCGCAGATTTTGTTGAGTGGCAGAAAGCCCTGGAAGATGAGACGAATTCTCGTTTTGCTGTCCGAGATTCGGGAGCGACGCATAAATATCTCCGCTGCGCACAGCAACCGTTGAATGGAGACGGTTCGCCAATGATAAAGATCCAGCCAGGACTAGTCACATGTCCGGCGTTTATTAAGGTGCTAAGAATCGCGAGTATTATCTAGAGAAAAATTTCAGACGACTCTTCGCGAGCAAAACGTCGAAGTAATTTTTTGCGACGCTCATTCTCACGTGCCGGATGTGCCAAAGCTTTCACTGCGAAATTCGCTAATAGAAGATAAAATTATGGACTTTCTGAAGACAGGTGCAAAACGGGTTATTGTACAAATTCTTATAGGCGTACCGGCAAATAAAATCATCGAAAAATTCCGCGAGCCCTTCCTTGACGATGACATCGAGAAACAACTGCCAGACAAGAGGGAATACTTCGTAACGACTGCTGATATTGCTGAAATCGCGAAACGACATGGGCTTATCGGCGGCAGACTCGACTCAAATGACCTCGAGTCGTTGGCAAAGCGCGTCGACAAATGCCTGCCCAGTGATGGCCTTCTGAAATACACGCCACCGGCTAAACTTCCTTCATCAACCGGATTTGTCCTGGGTTAGAAACGATCACAGCGAAAAAATATTTTTCAGCATTCTGCACCCCGCTACAACAGCGCTGGCTGAAGAAGTATGGCACTAAAGGCGTCACAATAGACGATACGTTTGCTGTCACGCTATATGATCTCCGCCTGACAACATTAATGGGATTGGATGATAGCGACCGTGGGATCCCACTCGCTTTTCTCATTTCATCGCAGCTCCGAATTGACGACGTGGCGGTTTTATTTGATGTCATTCGGTAAGGTCTAAAACCTGCAAAGATTTTTGTCGTTCAGCACTATCGACCCAAACTTCAGCCCCAAATATATGATGAGCGATGACGATTCAGTTTTTTGGCGGGCGTATTGCAAAGTGTTCCCCGGCAACAAGACACTGCATCTCTTATGCAAGTGGCATGTATTGAAATCGCTGACGCGAAATCTCAACCGCCTTAAAGACGTACGCTATTTTTTAATGTAAAATTTTCAACCTTTCCAGAAGTCACTTGTCAAGCAGATGAAGGACGAGTTTCGAATCTTGCTAAATCTAACCACTCGAGACGCTTTGGATGCACAAATTGCTAAAATTCAAAATACGCTTGATATGAAGGACGAAAAGAGCTATCGAGACTACTTTGACGTGAGTTCCTAAAGAAACAGCTTAATCTATGAGAGAAAAAAGGAAAAGGAATTTATTTTCAGCAATACTACCTTCCACGAGCGGACGAATGGTCAGCAGCATCACGTATTCGCGCCCCGTTCGCCACCTCGATGGCCTCCGAGAATTGGCATCGTCGTCTGAAGTCCGAACATGTCTATACCCAACGTCAGGGGCGCGTCGATTCGCTCGTCGACCGTCTCGTCAAGTATCCGCAGCAGTACTGGGCTCAGCTCAGCGTCACAGACGTTCGGGTCCGGAACCCAACCAAACGGATTGCTCTAAATGGAAAACGCCACGCCGCAGCGGAACAAGAATATAGTGTAGAGAAATGCAAAGAGCTGGAAGAAGGAATTTGGTTAGTGAAGTCGAAGCGCGCTGAACATAGCTATCGGGTGGAGCTACTCGGACCATGTGAATGCCAGGTACTAAACGCCTTACGAAATATAGTCTCTTAGAACACGGTCGTCCACTGCAAGAGTTGTGATGCGTGCCCCTATCGCTTTCGCTGTGAATGTCTGGGCTCCACTATGGCAGGCGTCAGCTGTCCGCATGTGCATGCGCTGCACCATTATCGTAAGTCGAGGCTTGTGTTTTCGAATTAGTGCATAACCTTTATTATACAAAACGCCAAGAAAAAAAATCGCGATCAAGCCAGTTCATCAGATTAATAAAAAAAAGAACGTACCTTAGGTCTAATACGCCCTACGTCGACTGCTTCTCCTGGTCCTGTAGTTGCCCTCGAAGTTGAAGACGGCCCCGCAGACGTTCTACCTGAAAATCGAAATGAAGTTCTGGAAAAAGCAACACAACAGGCGGAACTGGGAAAACTGAAGCAAGATATTCGAAAGGTACAAAAAGATATCCTATATTTATTTATCTAATCTAGAATCTATAGCTCTAAAATCATATACCTATCTTAGACCCTCAACAATATCACATTCGCGATGTCTCAATGCAAAGACGCAGAAAAACCTGCCAACCTAAAGCGCCTGCTCGACGACGCGCTTTCCACGATCCAGCCGGAGAAAAGCTTCACGGGGATGGCGCCTCACGGCGAAAAAATTGTTCCCATCCGCCTGGCTTCAGCTTCCCGGAAAATGGAGACGAAACGGATGAAGACCAAACGGCAAACCGACCAGAATGAAAATGAGAAAGATTGTTAAAGTTGTTTTTGATAAATTTTGTTGTTGCTAAGCGCTGCATTTACGAAAGAAAAACATCCCGACCTCAAAAAATGGCACGAATGTATGTTTTGTCACCTGAACCACCGTCAGTACGCTTCATAAGCTTGTATTAGGCTGTAGGTAATATATTATGTGTAGAACCAAGAGCAGATAAGCATAAAATTTTATTTTATTATTTTTATTTTACTCTTCTTTACTTCTTTCCGTCGATTACGCCATAAAAAGTTGGCTGGAAAAGTGGGAAAGCGCCGGGGAGGGGCCCCGGCGGGATACGGTCAGTGGGGCACGCAATAGCACGCCGGGACTAGCCCGTCTGTGCGGATCCCGGCCCGTCAAGTAAGCCCACAGCAAGATAGTCGATAATATTGCGTCTTTAGCATTTCCTCCGCTCTTGCCATTAGTGCCGCGCTCGGCATGGCCGATGGGGCAATGAATAACGTTCGAGTTACGGCAGCGGCTCGAGCCGTGCCTTCACAACCCGCTATTGCGTTTTGCATCATGAAGTTCTACCAGGTTTGTAATCAGGCATATATTTTGAATATCTTCATTTTTGATCGTTTCGTCTCAATAAAATATCTAGGCACTTTCCTCAACCGTATTTTTCTATCTGTGCTCCATACTCAACATGTACAAAGTCATGGCCTTAATGACCTTCACCCTTGCTATAGGCAAGTGCTCGGTAAAAATCATGTGTGTTTATCAAAATTTCAGGGTTATTTGGCTTCATTTCATTCACCAACGATCTAAAACGGAGCTACAATTTGGGAGAGCCAGAGAAGAAGATAGCGAAATGAAATGTTACAAAAAAATGAGGAGGAATAAATTATTGATCGGAACCACTTGAGCTTACAGTTATCAGGCTGAGATAAAGGTGTTCAAAGTGGGGAGGCGGAGCTTTGTGGAGTTGCGAATTTACGTGAATTCGAGAAGGAAATAAACTTTGAAATTCACAAGCCCCCAAAGAAAAGAGACCCATAACGTGCAGCAAGGTAGGGTACAAACGTCAACAAAAAAAATCAAAGAAAAACAAAGATTCTAGCGACCGGGATGACTAGAGCTATTCAGGGTACGGAAACAGGTGATTTGGGTGTGATAGGGGTATGGAATTTATTTCTTGACCTCGGTCTTGACCTCTTCGCTGGTTTCTTGTTCCCAGAGGGCGAACAATTTGGATAGTTCTTTGGCGTCAGCAACCTAAAAATACATTTTTAAAACGAGAACCGCAACTACCGATCGTTTCTCGTCAATCATTCGTCTCGCAATATCCAGGCCCGCGCCGAAAACGTTGACCAGCAGACATCCGACGATCTGCAAAAACCGGTTTGCGGAAGAAGCCTCTAAAAATCACCTTTCCACCATTTTCATAAAAGACGACGCCCTTGTGGTATTTGTTGGGGAAGCCTACTTCCTGAAAAAAAGACTATATAATTTTTCTAATCAACATTAGTACCTGATCAGCAAAGATGGAAACAGTGTTCAGCTTCGAGTCGGTGTCCCCGACGGCGTTGATGTGCATCTCGGGGCCAACCTTGGTGAAATAGGACGATTGGAACCTAAAAACGACTTTTATCTCATCTCTACTCCCCAAAATTTACCAAAAATCGCGATTCCCGTCGGTCATATTCTCGCCGGCCAGCCGCCCGGTTATTTGCGCATTTTCCCAGTGCTCTATCTGAAAAATTCAGTCTTTGAATAGTTAAAAAATTCGTACCCTCCGTCTCCCCAGTACTCCAGCATCATAGGCGCAAGAATCGCCAGCACACCAAATCCCTGGGGCAACCCGAAGTTGAGCATCGGCGAGGAAGCCGCCCAACGACTCGTCGACCTAAAAATAGGCTGCAGAAAATTGTCTATTACTTACATGCACGTCATTTGAAGCCAGAATCACGTTCGGCTCGCTACCAACGGCGACAACGACGTAATCGGTCGAGATGGTGCGGCCATCGTTCAGCGATAGGGTTAGCTCAAAGCAAAAAAATAATTAACAGACGCAAAAATACCTTTTCTCCAGATTTTTTCGTTGCGGCAATGATCGATGAATCGGTGTGCACCTCGACGCCGGATCGTTCGAGGCCCCCGCGTGTGTGAGCAGACAAGTAATTCGGCAGCACGCCGGATAGTGGGCCGCTTTCTTGGATGATCTAAATTCAACGGTTTAAAACCTGACATACCTGAAACAACCTGAACAACCCGAGTTTTAGGGTAGCGGCGTTTGATGGAGTAGGCGAGTTCGGACCCGAGGAAGCCGCCGCCCACCACAGAAACTGTGCCGCCCCGCTCGCACGCTTCGTCTATCCGCCGGTAATCGGCCACCTATAAAACCCAACTTTATCATTTTAAGGATTTATCTTACATCCTTCAAATACATAACGCTGTCACTCTTCTCGACCGGCTCGAAAACGGGCAGCCTCTTCGGCTGGCCACCTGAAACCCAGCAATTAATAACGTAAAGTAAAAACTCACCAGTTGCTAGTAGGCACTTTCCGAATCGAATGCTTCGCCCGTCTTCCAAAACTACTTTCTTTTCTTTTGGGCAGATTTTGGCTACCTAAAATAGCGTTTATAAACGGAAAACAAATTATTCTTACCGTTACACCCTTCAATAGTGACACACCACCGTGTTTCGCTTTGACTATTTCGTTGACCGGAACATAGAAACCCTGGAACACAATTTTAAACGGACTCCGGCTCGCACCTTCGATTCAAAATAAATATCGCGCATCTTGCCGCTGAGGCCCTTGTAGGTGAGGGTTTGGCGTGCATTTTCGTCGGAATACCTAAAGGACATAAGCCGAAAAATGGCCAACTCACCACCAAAGCTCCTTTGATAGTGGCGGCTTGTTGTAGGGTAATTCCGGTTCGCTGCCAATCATTAGTACCTAAGAAAATATAGGAATCCGAAAGAATATTTAGCGTACTTTCGCTTCGGCATCGCGCGCTCGTATCGTCAACGAAGCGTAGTAAGCTGCCGCACCGGAACCGACGAGTAGATAGGGGATGTAGTCGGGAAGCTGAAAAAAACTTAACTTACAAACGCTAAACAAAATTTAGTTTCTGATCCCTTCCCCGTCCTTAGAGCTCAACCGCCAACCCTAGGGGCTTCGCTCAAAACCAGCAACTCGTCGTTTTCTTAATCTTTATTGAATTCACGTGCCATTCCTCCCACCACTGCAATCGAAACCTTTATTCAGGCAAAACCTGCAGCGAGTCTGTGAGCAAACGTCCGGAAATGTACACCAGAAAAGTCGACTATCGCCTAACGACAGACCGGGCAACGATTGCAGCTTGGGTAGAAAAGCACGTAAATTCAAACAACTCGAAAGGGTAAACGGATTAATCGGGAATGGGTCGAGGCGAGGTGCGGGAAATCATATTAGTTTGTCGATCTCAAAAACATATCACTTCTCGCACTTCAAAAAGGGTAGGGGCAAAACTGGGATGAACACAGCAACAAAAATCCTAGAATAATCGCCCGTAAGAGCAGGGTTACTATCTGATATGAAGGATAAACTATCTTAAGACTACTGAACTAGAAAAATCGAGGGAGACAAGTATTTGGACCCATGGATAGAATTCTGGCAAACAAGACTTTTAAAGGGAACCCGGGGTTAGGGTCTTAATCAGAGTCGATGGATTCCGGTTTCGCTTCGTCTTTCTTCTCGTGGCAGCAAGGCTTCTTCTCCTCAGTGGGCTTGGTAGAGGCTTCGGGGCCCTCAGCCTCTACCTCCTCCGACTTGAGGGTCAGCGCCTCGTCCACCTTATGGGCAGCCTTTTCGACGGCGGCCTCGACAGAGGCAACAGCCTCGCTAGCCAGTTCCTTCACGTGTCGCACCTCTTCTTTGGCAGCATCGGCAATCTTCTCGACGATCGAGGGCTCGCCGGAGGAAGAGGCAATCGGTGTGGTGGTCGATTCCTTGTCGTGACCCTGCTTGACGGCGTCTGCCTTCTAAAAATACGATAAAAGTGAACAACACGAAAGTAAGTGGTGCAGTAAATAGACTCCGAAAAACACACCTTGGAAAGGGGGACAACTGGGGCCTCCTTGGCGGAAACCTTGGCGGCGGCGAGTTCGGGCTGCTCTTCCTTCACCTGGGGAGCGGCAGGCTGAGGCTTGCTCTCGGGTTCGGTTGGCGGAGGCTTGCTCTTGGTTTCCTGAAAAACCATATTAAAAGGACTAACAATAAAAAGTTACCTTAGCAGGAGTGAATGGCCGGTGGTGGGCGTGCAAGAATCCCTCCTTGATGTTCATGCCAAAGACATCGGTGTAAAGTGCCTAGAAAGAAGATAAATCTAGCAAAAAAATGACTAACAATTGCCCCAACGGTTAACAAGACGAAGACACCGGCCCCGACATACGAAGCATAATCGTCGCCAGTGTGGTCGTGCGAGTCCTTTGTGATTCGGGGTGCCTAAAAAACGTTGGATCAGAAAAAGAAATAAATTCTACCTGCGGCCGGCCAAAGAAGTCCTTTTCAACGTGGCGCAGAGGTTGCGGGACGTGCGGCTCGGGGTTCGGCAGATCATGATGACCACCGCCGAGTGCCGGACTTGTCAAGACAATAAACCTAAAAACGCGATCATGGAAAACCAAATAACGAATACCTTGACTGAATTAGATGCCGCGCGAGCGGTCGTATACCTGCACCAGCAAGTCTGCCAAGCATTTTCGGTCCGCTCGTATTGGGGCTGCCCTGGTCGACCTGAAAGCCGAAAGATTAGGAGAGCAACGGCGAGAAAACACTCAGGAAAAGGGTAAACAAGTGTTGAAGGAAGATAAGAAGCAATGAAGTTGAGGCTGAGTAGGAGCTTGTTTTTCTTTCAATTTACTGCTCAGGTTCCGGTTAGGGATCTTTGCAAAAACGAGAGACCAACGGCATAGATCGATCGGGGGCGCCCCGGCTACAGGCTTGCAGGTGTCGCGAAAAGAGCGGGCTTGCTCTCGAGAAACCGGCAGCCAGGGGCAGACATTCGTGGCCCGGCCCTTGCTCTGGTTTCGCTGCCAGAGCAGTAAACAAGGCATGATAGCGTGGAGGGTATAAAAAACCTCACTAAAGAAAGGTCTATCGAAAAGTGTAAATGTGCAAAAAGCAGCCATCAACAATAGCAATAGGTCCGGGGAGTAGGAAAGTTAAAAAAGGCACACAAAAAATATTATCATTACTACAAAATTCAAAGTTTTAATAAAAATTTGTGTTATAAAAATATTATTTCGGCGTTCGCACATTTCTCCCGCCGAGTGCGAATGTGGACTGAGGACGAAATGACCCTGTCGATTGGAGTGGTACGTAGCCCCTCAAAGCGAGCGTCCCAGTAATAACAAAGTTTTCTAGAAAGTTTGTTTTTTTGATAAATTTTAATAGTTTATTTACTTACGTTTAATGATTTATATTTTGTGTTTTTTAATAAATTTATTTTACTGCTCACAACTCCGGCAAAGGATAATCAAAAAGCACATAATCGTGATAAAACATTTTCACAAGCAATTCACGCAGGTACGGAGTTTCTTGGACCATTTTCCGGTACTTTACGACGTCTTCAGAATCGTAGGTAGCATGGTAGGACTTCTTTCCAGTAATCTAATAATGGATATATTTTTATCAATTTTGGGGTTCCACTTGCTGCCTTATATCATTTATCACATCTACTGGCACGCTGGCATTCGCAAAATCTTCGAAAACCGACTCCAAGATTGCTCCAATATTTTCATGTGAATATTTGAAGATCTTGTAATCGTCGTAGTGAGCTTGGAGCTCGCAATTCCTAGAACGTACTTGTCGGAGGGCCAAATTACCCACCAATTTTGCGGCGCAAAGTGGGAGTCCTCCACCGTATGTAGGCTGAATTTGACGTCTAATTTTTAGTTTTTGACCCACTAGGGCACGATGCCGGTGTCAGAGATCTTTTTGAGGCTTTTGTACTGATTTTCCATTAGACAGGTGATATTGTCATCACATTGATAGCAATTTTGGCCTCGCGCGGAACTCCTAAAAATTCGGTTGAATTGTAAGACATATACAAATTACCTCAAGCATTTGTGCACAAAACCCGAGATGAATCGCTCTAGCGGGTCTCGAACCAAAACATAATTTATCCACTTTTTATCCTTGAACCGGTTCCGGTCATCGAAACGGTAGTATTCGTTTTTATTCAAGCAAAATCTACAGCAAATATTGTCGGCGTTTCCAATGTACCTTCCATCATAGAGATCTTCCATCATATTAGGCACATTTTTCCGGTATGCTTGATGATCAAAAATATAGCAAAGGATTGCGGTAAGGACGGTGGAGAAATTTTTGAAAATTACACAAGCAGAGATACCGAATTTGGGAGCGACCTAAAAATTTAAAATTTACAGAGAAGATTTTTCTTACCATTTGTCGACTTATAAAGTTAACAAACGGGCGGACCAAGTTACAAGGTCCATCACGTGGGCAGAACATTTTTTGATATTTGACGATTTTATGGGATTCGGGGTCGGATACCTAACGTTTTTATCGATTTCGACTTTTAACGATTTGAACGGGATTACCTGTATATTTTGAACAATGAGAAGGTTAGTTTGATTAGCCCTAGGAAGATCTGAATCCCGCTAAAATGTGGTGGCATAGTTTTCGGTTCGTTTTTACCGTCCTTCCGATTAAATCCACCCTCCATTGCACTAGGCAGAGCAATAAAAGTAGTGATATCATCAATGATATAATTGAATTATATCTACAGGGTTAGTAAATCATAGTAATTCGAAAAATACCTCTTGGATAAACTTGTCATCGCAATTAGTCGCATCGGAATTGGAAAAAGAGAGGTATGACGGATTTTGCCATATAAAGGGCGGCGAATCGTGCGTGCATAGTTAATTTGGGTAAACAAACTGTCTATTTGCCCGGCGGGTCATCGAATTGCGAGATCGATTCGGATAGCTGGGTAGGCTGGCAGAGAGCCTTTAGGAAGTGGGCTTTTGAAAACTCGGGGCTTGAACCGATAATTTTTACATCTTCGTCGAAATGGATAAGAAGAGTTGTTGTGTCTTGAGTAGATGTGTGACAGCGCGGGACGAACAGTTCGAAAGACTGTTTATTCGGTGAGCAACCTGGCGGCAAGAGGAGGAGGAAATTAGAACTGAACTGGGGAATAAATGCCATCGCAGGCCCATGGGGGGAGAGAGACCCCGTTACGGTGGAAAGGGCACTGGATAGGCGAGGGACCGGGGAGCCAAGGGAAAAGGGCGCGGGCGCTCACAGGCGCCTCCGCAACACCTCCCCCTGTACAAACGAAAAGAAATGTGGATAGGAGGAGGAGACACCGAAAGGAAATACAACTGCGTACTAGCACAAACGAGGGATCAAGTCACAACGTAAAATAAGTGAAAACTTATTTGCTTTTTCCTTTAATAATTGGCGAGCGTAGGGCTTAGTCATCCTTCCTTCCTTCCTTCCTTCAGAACGTCCGGCGATGCTTGACCAAGGAAGGCGGCGATTTACGGCACGACTTCCTTCCCTCTTTGCAAGAATGATGAGCTTGATGTTGGGCTTCATGTCGACGGGCTGCTCGATGTGCGCGCTCCGTCCGCCGAGCTGTTGCAAACACTCGGTCTTTGCGATGGACCTCTTCCGTAGAGGTGGAACCCATCGGCCGGCTGCTCTTGGTTGTGGCGATCCGGGCTTTGTCGACTTGATGTTGTCGCTTTTTGTTCGCCGGGGCTCGTGGGGCTCCTCGTGCGATCGATGGCCATCGTCCAGCGGTCCGAATTCCTTTCTGGCGCGGATCCATCGAAGTTTTGGATGCTGCGGGTGGGGGCATACCCTGTCCGATTTATCCTCCGGGGATATGGGAGGGACAATCTCCAAGCCTAACCTCTTTGCAAGCGTATCCAGTCCTTTGTGGGTGAGGACATAACCGTTCTTCTTTTTGAAGTTGTTTCGCGGCCGGTCTTGACGGAGTTCGAGCGGGCGAGGGGCAGCCGGATGCCTCATTGTGACCCTTTCGTCTCGACCTTCTCTGCATTTCTTGTCGTCCTTGGTGGCGACATCCTTCCTTCCTTCGTTGCACTTGAGGCGAAGACGGCGCGCTTCGACTTGGTCCTTCTTGTCGACGGGCATGCCCGCACGATCCGAGCACATAAAAAGTGCGAAGGCCAGATAGGGGTAAAAATACTTCCCTTTTAATCGAATCCTCCACGGGATGACGCCGCTTCTTGCCATGTAGAGCTTCTTGTCCTTGCGCTTGATCACCATCTGCTTGACCAACTTTTCCTTGACCGGGCGGCGGCTTGAGCGGCTGCTTCTTGGCTTGGGGGTTTCCTTGTTGTTGCGTGAGTTCGTGATCCTGATCGCCAGTTGTTGTGTCTTGAGTAGATGTGTGACAGCGCGGGACGAACAGTTCGAAAGACTGTTTATTCGGTGAGCAACCTGGCGGCAAGAGGAGGAGGAAATTAGAACTGAACTGGGGAATAAATGCCATCGCAGGCCCATGGGGGGAGAGAGACCCCGTTACGGTGGAAAGGGCACTGGATAGGCGAGGGACCGGGGAGCCAAGGGAAAAGGGCGCGGGCGCTCACAGGCGCCTCCGCAACAAGAGTAAAATTCAAGTCCACACCGGCCGTGCTGACAAGTCTAGCAAATCGGGAATGAAAAGTTTTTCTTTTAATTGTAGTCTTCTGTTTAATTTAGTTTAATTGTAGTCTTTTATAATTGTAGTTTATTTGTTTTTCTTTTAATTGTAGCCGTTGTTAATTTATTCAACAAGATTCATTTCGCACGGTCACGTTCGAATTCCGCTTCTGAGACTCGCCCTTGCCGCTACTCGAATCTGCGGTGGTCGAGACGCGTTTATTCAGCGCTTTTTTAATCTAAATTAAAATGTAGCAATCTTAATTAATATGTAGTCCTCTCTATACCTCAGAATTTGTGTGATAGTAGACAAGCCCGTTGGCGCCAAAGCTCAACATGGCATTTAGCGAGCAAAAAGAGTACAGATAAAGATTCGATCCGCCAATTAGCTAGAGTCATCAGGTGTGCTTTGGGGCAAAATTTCAATTACTTACCACGGGTAGATACCGAAAACTGGTCCACGCGTTCATGTAGAAAATGGTGATGATGAAGAATTGTTTGGCATACTTGAAAAAATGGCAGGTTGAGAAATGTTCTGGACTGTTAGCGGGGGGGGGGAGGAACCATTTTTATTATTTTCTTCTCTACGGCCCTACCACGAAATATAAGCCGTTTTTATAGCACTTTACTAGTTTTTGAATGTAAAAACAATATAAAAAATATGAAATGTTCAAAATTATTTGATTTTTGGTCAAAATGTAAGAAAAGCGGCCAAAAAAATAAAAATCTGCGAATTTCCAAATTGTTAACATATTTTAAAATTTTCTTGCTGTCAAAGGCTACTAAAAAACTATAAAACTACATATCTGATTAACAGGTGGATGTAGGTGGGAAAAACAAAACGCCCCCCCGCTAACAGTCAAGAACAGGGTTGGTCACAAAGGATCCGGTCCGCGGACGGTCCGCGGTCCGGTCCGGTCCGTCTGAACACGAAGGGACATGATTCAGGAGCCAGATATGGAAAATTTTGTATGCAAAATACTACTCGCGAAGAATTTGACATATTTTTCCACATCTAGACTACTAGCCGTCGCGTATATAGCCAAAAATTAATGGGGGACGAATAATTTTATACATTTTGATTAAGCGAATTCCACATTGCGTCATTTTTTGGTACGCCACTCTTTTGCATTCCGAATTTGCATGTTGCATTTCCGTTTCCCCTAGCAAATCAAGACCCCTCGGTCCGCCACGGACCGGACAGGTCCGGTCCGGTCCGGTCCGGTCCGGATGGAAATTTCGGACCGGACCGGACCGGACCGACCCCCGGACCGGACCGGATCCGATTAGGATCCAGCGTGACCAACCCTGGTCAAGAACCAAAATTTTTGCTATTACCTTAATTTCAAGTTTTGTCTCGTGTGAGTGCGCGGCACCTTGGCCCTTTTTAGCGTTGATCGAGAAGATCCAGAGAACAATCTAGAGATTATTGGGATGAAATCACAGAGATGGCTTATGCAAATGGTAGATAGGCGAAGGGTACCTTACCGAAAAATAGCAACAGCCACAAACTGTCGTGCTCAATGCGTTCAACGGCATATCGATAAAGGTGTTCGGATAATTCATCAGCCCGTCTATCGTAATGTAACGATACGAAAAAACGAAGTAATCGAAGGAGAATCTACAGGTTAATTAGATTGTAACAAATTGTAGAAACTATTTGATACCTGCAACATGGTAAAACATATTGAGAAAGTATGGCTAAGACAGCGGCGATACTGTACGTCGAGATGGCAAATATCAAGGTATTTCTTCTTGTGAATACATTCACGTTGCTAAAACACATCACAACCAATCTAAAAATGGCAATTGACTATCGAGTAACCCATAAGGTGTCAGGGTTTCTTAAAAGAAATCCATACCTATTCACGGCCATCAAAATCTGGCTAAACGACAGTTGATACCAGAAAAACATGAAGAGTGAGGAGATAAATATGGTAAGATTGTCGTTGATGCCTTTTGGGAATATGTATGACTAAGAATAAAGTTTTATCAAAATCAAAGTCTGCGCGGTACCTCGAATAATAAGCTCGGCACAAAATATACTAAATGCAGTGTGAGCATGCCAAAGTCGGCGAGGAGGTTGGAGGCGGCGATGATGTAGATCGGGCTTTTTTGTTGGCAGAATTTGCCTCTGAAGGATTGAATTTCTATTATAACTATATTATATGGTTTTCAAATTTAAAAACAAAATATTATGCTCACTTAAAAATCGCAAACAAAACCGATGCGATGGCGAATAGCTCATATGCGACGAGCAGTAAGAAGAAGAGCCCAGCAAGTTGGTAGAGTACAGCCATTTCGAGGTAGAATACGGCTTCCCAAAATGATTTTCGCCGTGTTTAGGAAACGTATTGCTCCTAAATACTGGAATTGGCAGTATCGTCAACAAAAAAATATTATGAAAAACCTAGAATTACAAATTTTCTCAGGGGAATTGCTATTTTTCAGTAATTGCAGGGTTGGCTGACAATTCGCTACAGAATCCGACGATGACCACTAATTATTGCGCCAGTTTGGCAGTTACGTGGCATTTTTATTTTTCGGAGATCCGCCAGAAACCATTCGGACCGATGATGGCCCGTTGTCGACTCGGGACACCGGGACCAAATTAGCACCTTTCGCAGCCTATACGGTAGTTGAAAGCTCAGAGAACAATAAATGTTAAGGTGTTTTTGGGGGTTCAAAGCTTAACGCGAGCAACTGAACAGCGGTAGCCTACATGTTTCGTGGGGCAATCTGCGCATGTTGCAGCTAAAAACCAGGCAAGATCGGAGGGATCACCTTGTCGGAAATGACAAAGAAGTGGGCGTATAAAGAGCAACGGTAACTTGCTCTCCGGAGAAAAAAATAAGTTCGCGCTGCATAAATTGAGTTAGCCTACAACCGAGCCCGAATGCGTTCAGACCAGATTAGGTCAGACCACGAAATTTTCGGGTAGCTAATGTCATGCGCAGATCTAAATTATATCGGCGGAATCGTAGAAAACAAGAGCCGCATAAAGTGTTCTGGACAAATTTTATCGGCACTGACGTTGCCCTAATTTTACCCATTTTCGGGTGTTTTTAAGCATTTCTGGTCTTTGACTCGTATGCTCTTTAACGTTTAGGCTAAATTTTTCTAAGCTTTGTTTAACCGTTTTTTACTTAAGATATGTTTAGATTCTCCCAAAACACTACTACAGGGTGAGGCATATATATGGCAACACCCCCAGACCATACCAATTTGCCTGCTATCGGAAAACTAACTATTTTTTCGGGGGATTGGATGTTTCCCATAAAAGAACTAGAGTTTCTTTCTGCAGGAGACAAATGAAAACGGTTGCAAAATTTTTAATTTTTGCTTTATAGCAGCGGGAAGTTTAGCGATTTTGTCGAAAAAGCAGTGTGTTGGCACGCTGCTCCTAGAACCCCGGATATTGGTAGCCCTGCTCCATGGTTTTGTATTTAAGTTTAGTTTGATCGTATTTATTTATATCAAAATTCTTTTAGTCGAGAACTGGCGAGAGAATTTTGCTATATTAAAAAAACGCGCGCTTACCCACCCCTCACCACCCTTACGTTGACCACTAAAAATTAATTATAAAACCCTGGCCAATTGTATTGCTTTATCTAAGCAACTGTTTACATTGTAGGCATCGGATTCAACCAATTCCAGATGTTGAAACCAAGCAATTCAACGATTAAAGATCAAAAAAGGCAATTTTACTTTTTTTAGTATTATTTTTGGGGCTAGCCGAGAACAATTCAAAAATTGCTGCCTACTTAAAGGAAATGAATTGTTTTAGTTACCTTTACTTGTCACTACTAGGTGGTACACATGTTTTTTGGGGCCGTTCGTGGCCAAAACGACGTTTCTGAACCATGCTGAAATTCGCTTCCAAGGGGTTCCGTGCCAGCGCCACCCTTACGACGCACAGTTTTGGCCTCAGAACAAAAGTTTGTAGGGTTGCTGCGTTCTAATATTTGAAGAGTGGTTACAGGTAACTGGTGACTATGTTTCGGCAAATTATTGAAGCCCAGCCAGTTTTCTTCATTTTTTGAGAGACCCGGGAAAGTGCTGCCATATATATGCCTCACCCTGTACAATAGCTACTACGACGATACTAGGCCTTTCTCCAAAGAAGTAAGTGTTTTCCGGCTTCCGACGCATCCGCTGTGCACGTGTTCGCTTACGTAGCGACGCTTTGAAACTTTAGCAAAACATAACAATGCGCCTCGAATAGTTATTTAGCGCAGCTTCGGCTTTTATTCATACCGAGAAACGAATCTCTAAACAAGATAGACGTGACTTCTAGGCTGATATCTGGTTTTCATTAAATTTGTGGCCCTAAAGAGGGCCGTTGGGTTTGGGAGTTTTGAGGTGTGGTAGAAGCTCGACAATTGGAATTAGATCTATTCCTTGTCTCCGGCAGTCTTCTTGGGCAGGAGAACAGCCTGGATGTTGGGCAGCACTCCTCCCTGGGCAATCGTCACACCCGACAACAGCTTGTTCAGCTCCTCATCGTTGCGGACAGCGAGTTGAAGATGACGGGGGTTGATGCGGGTCTTCTTGTTGTCACGGGCAGCATTGCCGGCCAATTCGAGAACCTCGGCAGCGAGGTACTCAAGAACGGCGGCCAAGTAGACCGGGGCTCCGGCTCCGACGCGTTGAGCATAGTTGCCCTTGCGGAGAAGACGGTGCAGACGACCAACGGGGAATTGGAGTCCGGCTCGCACCGAGCGAGACTTTTGCTTGCCACCAGTCTTGGCCTTGCCTCCCTTGCCACGTCCAGACATGTCGAGTTGAGTTGGGTAGAGTCGAGTAGACTATGAGGATGGGGTGGACAGGGGCCTTTATATACCCTGTATCGGGTAGAGGGAGGGCGGAGCATCGCGTAGTGTGCCCCTCGGGGTTATTAGACTCCGCCTCTTTCTCGTCCCTATATAAGCCCCCACCCCACCACTTCCTCATCTCCAACTTTCAACAAGAAGGAAATATGGCTCGTACCAAGCAAACGGCTCGCAAATCGACCGGAGGAAAGGCTCCTCGTAAGCAGCTTGCCACGAAGGCTGCTCGCAAATCTGCCCCAGCCACCGGAGGTGTCAAGAAGCCCCATCGTTATCGCCCTGGAACCGTTGCTCTGCGTGAGATCCGTCGCTACCAAAAGTCGACCGAGCTTCTCATCCGCAAGCTCCCCTTCCAGCGTCTCGTTCGCGAGATTGCCCAAGACTTCAAGACTGATCTCCGCTTCCAGTCATCGGCTGTGATGGCCCTTCAGGAGGCTTCAGAGGCTTACCTTGTCGGTCTCTTCGAAGACACCAACCTGTGCGCCATCCACGCCAAGCGTGTCACCATCATGCCGAAGGACATCCAGCTGGCTCGCCGAATCCGCGGAGAGCGTGCTTAAGAAGTTCTGAAGCTATGACTCGGACTTTTGCTTGCTACATCCTTCATCACTAAACCCAACCCAACGGCCCTCTTTAGGGCCACAAATTACTTAAGAATTTCCTCTCCTTGGTATGCATCTTCTTGGTCCCTTCCTCAGGTTAAGCAAATTTGTGTTATCTGTCAGCGATACACCTGTTGGAAGGCGGGAAGCCTTTTAAAGGGGCACTTTCAGAAGAGTTTTCCATAAAACGTGCAAAATTCTGCATGTATTGCCGGTTAGAGAGCGCGCCCTGGTGAGAGGCGAAGACATTTCACATGCAAATGTTTCCACGATTTGTGTAAAAACGGGGCATGTGAAAGTGCCCCTTTTATTTGGAACAATCTCTGAGAAAACTCCTGCACAACACCATGACTAAAATACCGTTTCTGCGGCAATAAAGTATTGGAATATTTTGGTTTCTATTTTCAGGTAACGACCGTTTCGGATTATATCGATCTTCAGTTGGACCTGTTGAGGAACCACCCTCCCTCGCTTTGGCGCCAAACCTAGGCTTGGCGGGATGCCAGAGGCGTCCCATCACTCCACTCCATTTATCAATAGTACCGAAAAATTGTAGATCCACTGAAAAGGAGTCATACAAGCAGATGTAGTGGCATTTCAAAATAGAAACAATATTGGTCGAATCGAAATTATCAATTCGTGGAAAGAATTTGTACGAGAAAGAGGATGAAAGGGAAATCGATCGTATTGTACTGGCCGGCTCTGGCATTGTAAAGGAAAAAACCTGGAAATGGGAGCCTCTTCATGCGCGTTCCTCATCGAGGATTTCGCCTGAAAGCCGCTACACTGCAAACCCAACAACGATCGCAAACTCTATGCATCTTTTCTTACCGAATGTGCCAAGGTGTTTTACCGTGCAGAGAACCGAACAAGCCTGGTGCATGCTCAAACTACATCAAAACCCATCCTAATAATGAAACGGTTATCTTTTGGCAACACCATTGTATTTCTCTGAGATTTGCCCACCTCTCTTGACTGAGACTATCTTTTTTAGTTATTTAGATTGTGGCCCTAAAGAGGGCCGTTGGGTTGGGTATGGGTTGGTGTTGGCAATGCCAGCCAAGTTGTTGTCATTTCAGTAGCACAACATCCAAATTTATTTGGACGAAGTGTACTTGGTGACGGCCTTGGTGCCTGCGCCGGCCCTGCTTTATGCATGCCTAATTTGGCAATATGTGCTGAAAATACCGGAAAAATCTTCTTGAAAACTGGGTTTCAGCTGCAAATTAATGCATTACTTCCAACAAGTCGGCTACTTGAATCTTCTCAGAGTTGGACGGAGTCGGTTCCTGCCTCATCGAAATCGAATTTCTCCGAAAAAACTATCTTTTGCAAAAATGGCGCCTCTTGAAGGCTAGAACTCACAAAAAAAGGTTTTCTATTTTCAAGCTATGTTTATTTATATTTATTAGTTAGATTGTGGCCCTAAAGAGGGCCGTTGGGTTGGGTATGGGGGTGTTGGCAATGCCAGCCATGTTGTTGTCATTTCAGTATCACTAGATCCAAATATTTATTTGGACGAAGTGTACTTGGTGACGGCCTTGGTGCCCTCAGAGACGGCGTGCTTGGCCAATTCTCCGGGGAGAATGAGGCGGACGGCCGTCTGGATTTCGCGAGACGAGATCGTCGACCTCTTGTTGTAGTGGGCCAGACGCGAGGCTTCCGAGGCAATGCGCTCGAAGACGTCGTTGACGAACGAGTTCATGATGGACATGGCCTTGGAGGAGACACCGGTGTCGGGGTGGACCTGCTTGAGGACACGGTAGATGTAGACGGAGTAGGATTCCTTGCGGGACTTCCTCCTCTTCTTATCTCCGGTACGGGCGGCCTTTTGGGACTTTCCGGCCTTCTTGGCTCCCTTGGCGGACG